ACATACCAAAAGAAAAAAAAAATTAGAATAGGGGCTGGAAGGATGGCTCAGTAGTCAAGAGCACTTGTTGCTGCTCCTGGAGAAAGGACCTGTTTCAGTTCACAGCACCCATGTGGCGGTTCACAACTGTCTGTAACTCTAGTTCTAATGCCCCCTTCTGCACCTGCAGGCATTGTTCACATGTGGTGCATACATGTAGGTAAACACTCACACATATAAAAAATAAAAATGAATCTTTTAAAAAAAGACAAATCTGGCCGGGTGTGGTGGTGCACGCCTGTAGTCCCAGCACTTGGGAGGCAGAGGCAGGCAGATCTCTGTGAGTTCGAGGCCAGCCTGGTCTATATAGTGAGCTCCAGGACAGCTGGGGCTAGAGGGAGACTCTCAAAAAGACAAAAAAAGACAAAAAAAAAAAAAGACAAATCTTAGAAAAGGACAGTACGTAGCAACAAAAAAGGAATGAAACTCTGATACATGCTGTAACATAGTTGAACCATGAAAACATGATACACTGTATTTGTGAATCTACATGTTTGCACACAAAAAGCCCCATGTTGTATAATGCTTCATTTATAAGACATGCTCAGGACAGGAAGAAAATAGATTAGAGATCTCCAGGATCTGAGAGGGTTGAGGGAATTGGGTGGGAACTGTTGAATGCTTCTTGTTGGAATGATGGAAGTGTCCTCATCTTAATTGTGGCAATGGTTGCATAGTTCCGTGAATTTACTTAAAGAAAAATGTAACCTGTACTAAGAAGGATTAAATATGTTACGAAGATGGAAACTTAACCCAACTATGATGTGTAGAGGTTGCGTCTTTGGGAAGTGATTAGGATTAGGTAGAGGCATTGGAGTTGAAATACAATGACTGAATTCTGGTGGGTTTATGAGAGGTAGGGAGGGAGGAAGGAAGGAAGAGGAGGAGGAGGGAGGGAGGAAGGAAGGAAGGAAGGAGGAGGAGGGAGGGAGGAAGGAGGGGAAGGAAGGAAAGAAGGAAGGAAGGAAGGAAGGAAGGAAGGAAAGAAGGAAGGAAGGAAGGAAGGAAAGAAGGAAGGAAGGAAGGAAGGAAGGAAGGAAGGAAGGAAGGAAGGAAGGAAAGAAGGAAGGAAACCCATTAAGGTGTACACTCAAATAGACGGGTTGGTAGTATGTGAATTGGATCTCAGGAAAACTTCTTATTATGTGATGGCTCATACCTGTAATCCCAGACTCAGAAAGTTGAGGCAGCAGCGTCCCAAATTCAAGGCCTGACTGAACTGCATAGGGAGACCCAATCAATCTCTCTCTCTTCCCGCCCCCCGCCCCCGTGTGTGTATAGGTATATATGATAAGGATCCCGCATAATTGAGAAAGATTGAAAATTTGCAAATCTGAATTTGTGGTAGCAGGATATCTCTCCTACAGGTGTGCAGACCCTAGTGCCCAGACCTCTGGCTGTTACTTTACATGGTAAAGGTACTTTTCAGGTGTGACTAAGGATATAGATTTCATATTAGTTACTTTCTATTGCTGTAATTAAAAACACAGATCAAAACCAACTTGGGGAGGAAAAGGTTTATTTGGCTTACAGCTCACAGTCCATCATCAAGGGAAGCCAAGGCAGGAGCTCAGGGCAGGAACCTGGAGCACAGGCCGTGGAGGAAGGCTGCTTACTGGCTTATTCACTATGGAGACCAGGCTGACCTTGAACTCACAGAGATCCACCTGCCTCTGCCTCCCGAGTGCTGGGATCAAAGGCATGCACCACCATGCCCAGCCTCAGCCTGCTTTCTTATATAACACAGGACCACTTGCCCAGGGCCTAGCCCTTCCACATCACTCAACAATCAAAATAATGCCCCACAGACATGACTACAGGCCAATCCAATGAGGAAATTCCTCAACTGAGGCACCCTCTCTACCCAGGTGTATCAAGTTGACAACTAAAGCTTATCTAGCAGACTAAAACAGGAAAGTTATACAAGTGCCTCTCCCCAGCCAATATCTCATGAGCCCATAAAGAGACCCTTTTGTGGCTGAGTTAGAAACACTACTCAGATAAAAGCAAGAGAAATTCAAAACGCTTAGCTTTCCATTACTGCTCTGAAGATGGAGGAAAGGGCCCCAGGCCAAGGGGTTTCCAAGCTGGGAATGGCCCTTAGCTGAGGCCAGCAAAGACATGAGGATTTCAGTCCGCACACCACAAGCCACCGAGCTGTGCCCTCTGCAGAGGATGACTGAAGCAAAGCATCAGTTAGAAAACGGCTTCACCATATAGAACCCTCGCCCTGACCCCTTGTAGCCCAAGACCAGAGCCGGGGGTAACATAATAAATCCATGGAGTTTCATTTTGTGGTACACTATCATGACAGCAACAGAGGACGAAATCACCAGAGCCAATCTTAGAACATAACATCAGAGGTTTCTTTATGTCTGGATATGAAAATGTCTACGTATGGCTGGAAACCTACGACACCTGTTCCCCTCCTCCTTTCCTTCCCCTGTGAGTAGCAAGGAGCCAGCAAATAGAACTGACTTGGGGCATGGTGCCTGAAAATAGAAACTGCAACGTGATTTTATTTCTAACTCTATAGACATCTCCGTGAGTCATTCATCTCCCTGGGTTTCGCTTTCCATATCTGCAAAGCAGGCTGAGTTAACCCTGACTTCTGCCTACCCACTACACAGGACTAGGAAATAAAAAAAACAAACTCCCCCAATCTGTTTCCTAAACAGCCTCTGGTATCTTCCTTAAGCCAGCACAAAAGAAACAAAAGGCATAATCTGGTCACAAGATCCTCTTTCCCCTTCCTTCTCTGGATTCCTCCAAGGAGCTCTGAGCACACCTGTGACATAGTTTGGAGGGTGCAGTAGCAGCAGTTACCACAGAAACGAGAAGCTCCAGGCAGGCAGAGATGTTGGGACCAGTCCCAAGGCCCACAAGGAACAAGGTTTCTGGTGCATGTTTCTGGAGGCAGCACTCTCATACCTAGATGACAGGGATTTAGCATGACTGGATTGTTTCCAGCGATTGAAAGAAAGCAAAGCAATTTCCCAGATCAATCCAGAAGGCACAGGGGTGGGGTAGGATGAGACGGGCTGAAGATGAGAAAGGAGACGCTGGGGAGATGGCTCAGAGGTAAAGTGCACACATGAGGACCAGAGTTCAGATCCCCAGCACCCATGTGAAAAAGCTAGGCATGGTGCTATGGCCTGTGATCCCAGTGCTGGAGAGATGGAGACAGGGGGATCTTGAGGCCTACCTGGCTATAGCCAGTCTAGCCAAATCAGCAAGCTCCAGGTTCAGCAAGAGACCCTGTCTCAAAAGATAGATAGAGGAAGATACCAGATCTCTGGCCTCTGTGTGTGCATACACCACACACACACACACACACACACACACACACACACACACACACACGAAGGAAAGTAGAGACATGAAGCATCTCACAGCAGTGTGGGCATGAGATGCCAGCAGAACAGGTGATGACAAGCTCATTCCTTTGTCAGCTCTGCCCCCACGATGCCCAATGCAGTGGGCACACGGGCATTTCTTATTAAGCTAGTCACAGCTAAGTTGGTTTGGGGATATTTTTAAAGATGTCTTCAAAGTCACAGGAGACTACACTGTGTGACGGCTACATAGCGATCTGGGATGGGATCTGCTAATCATCCTAGCCTCTGGACACCTGTCCACTGGCCAGCTGTACATCCCCTTAGCCCTGGTTTTCACAGCTGTGTCTCACAGGACTAAGGCGTGCAGGAAGGGCTCTAGGCCAGGAGTCTTGGCATCAGCTGAGTTCAGTGTGGCTACCCCTGCCTTGGACCCTCCTGCTCACTTCTAGTTATAGGGGTGGCCCAGAGGGTGCTTGGTACCTTGCCCTCTATCCCTCCTCAGATGCCACCCAGTATGACTTCAATCCTTGCTGAGGCTCAGCAGTCCTTTGCAGGGCCCCCAGATGATTCCTGGGCCTGGTGACAATGGGATCCAGCTTCTCTCAGCTCCCCAGCCTTCCTGGAACCCCCTTGCCCAATGTCCTGTGTGGTAATCATGCCTTTTGGCCTCTCATAGTCCTTCTGGTCACTGTCAAATTCCCCTGACTAGTTCCTGACACTCCTGCTTCTAAAGCAACCATCATAAATAAAAAGCGGCCGCGTGGTTTGTCTCAGGCCAGAGTTCTCTCTCCAGCAGGCCCAGTGTCTTTTGGCAGAGGTGGTCACTGGGGTGGCTGGCAGGTGGGTCTGAAGAAGGGACAGAGCTGGGATGTTCGAAGAGTGGGGATGGGCACCTATGTTCAGGAGGTGGCCCTGGACGGCCTGGCTGGACAGTGCAGCGGCCCTGCCCTGGTAGCCCAAGATCATTTGGGTTCTGCCTGAGGCACAGAGGGAAGAAACAGCTGCCTCTTCAATGGGGGGCACTGACAGTTGTAGAGCTGTAATTAAAATGGACACAAGGTTCGGCAAGGTTGAGGCCACACAGGTACAGGTTAAGCCTTATCATCCGACAAAATGAGACCATACTCCCACTACCCACACTGTACAGAAGGACAGAGTCCCACGGCCTTGTGGGGTATGAGAGGTTAGAAATCTGGGGCTGTCTGGTGGATGCACGGCAAGAAAGTGCATTCCCGACCTTTAACTATTAATACCTCTGGGTATGGAAACCCGGGTGGACCAAGCCGCTGACTCTATTGACAGCGAAAAGTGAGGTCTGGGGGGCGCAAGGAACCTGTTACAGGTGCCAGAGGACAAGCCAGCAATCGGCTCATCCCCGGGGTCTTCTCCACGACTCAACCACCAACCCAGCATGTCTGTGGGCACACGCGCGTCTCCACGCAGCAGGGCAGCCCTCGCACCGACGGAAGGACCCAGGAAGGAGGGACGCTGGGCCAGAGCCCAGGTCCAGCAGCTGGACGCTAGGGAAGAGCGCCCAGGCCCCGCCTCCTCCTCCGCGCCCGCGAGCTAGGGGCGGGGCCCGGCCGAGACTCCGCCTCCCCCCGCGCGCTGCGCCCCAGGCCCCAGTGCGCGCGTCCCTGGTGCCCGCGTGAGCGCGGCGCGGGGCCGCGGTAGCCTGAGGCCTGGCCGTTGGGCCCTGCCCACGCGCGGCCTGACCCTCCGCGGCATATCGGGCTGAACTTGGCCACGCGCCCTCCGCTCTCGCCGCGCGCCCAGGCGCCATCCGAGCGCAAAGGCGCGGCCCCGCGTGACGCGCGCACCTGCCGAAGAGGAGGCGCGGGCCCGGGGTTGCGGGTCCCCCCCACCCCGAGGCTGCCGCCCCGGCCACTTCCCGGAGGAGCGAGATGAAGTAAGCTGCACCCTCCCCGCTTGCTCTTGGCTGCGTTATCACCCGACGGCGCGGCCAGCCGGACACGCGGGTGGCTGGGATCCCACGGTGCTCGCCAGAGTCACCATCCGCCCTCTGCGCCCGCCCCTGCCGCGTCTCAGACCCGGCGTCTCAGCCCTCCTTCCGCAGAATAAAGGAGTCTTCATCCCACCCCACCCCACCCCATCCCACCCCTGCAGGGCCTGGGGACGGGGTGCAGTTAGGTGGCGGGCCAGCAGGAGGCGGCCAGGCTCCTTTCGGGCCAACCCTGGGGGCCAAAGGCGCCCTCCTCCCTAGGCCTCCCGGAACGAACGTGCCCACTGAGAGGGAGCCGGGGCTTTCCCAGTGCTTAAGCTTTGACAGTTGCTTCCGCAGGAGCGTTTCCTACACACCGATCTAGCGGATGCTCTCCCAGAGAGACAGACCTCTATGGGACGCTGAAAATCAGCTCACCCAGCCTTGACTGCTTAACTAGAAATGGGAATTTCTGGAAACTTCCTAAAGTCAGTATTGTAGCCAGCTCACCCCCTTCACCATGAAATGTCACAGAATTTGGAAAACTAGTTTCTCCATATAGTCTATGCAGAGATGCATGGCCCACCAAATCTTTGAGCTCATGAGGCTAATCTTTTGGAACTTTTTTTTTTTTTTTTGGTCTTTTTGGAACAAGGTCTCCTTGTAGCCCCAACAGGCCTGGAACTCACTATGTAGACCAGGCTGGTTTCGATCTCACAGAGATCCACCCACGTTTGTCTTTTGAGTGTTGGTGTTAAAGGTGTGCCCCACCAAGTCATGCTCTTTTTGAGAACATCTCAGATAAAGATGTTTAGTTTGGTTTGAACAGAGCTCATTTTTAAAGTTTTAGGTTTAACAGTTTTCTTTTAAAATACACATCTGTTCAATAGCCACACTAGGAAAAGGTCCTGAATTTCTTATCCAAAGGTGAGCAACAAGTTACTGTTACTGTTTGGGTAACTCAAGTGCCATGTAAAAGGAAGCAAAGATGGACTGGTGGGGCCTATCCAAAAGCCCAGCACTTCTAAGACTGACACAGAAGCAAGGTGAACCCAAGCCAACCTGGACTACCTAGCCAGACTCCTACTCAAACTATAAGAAACAGCTCTGTGGACGAATGTCGGGAACTGCAAAGGTGTCCAGTCATCTGGGCAAGGGCAGATATGCTCAGAAGCAGCTGCCGTGAGTTGGATCAGGTGATCTCTAACCCTATGTCCTCCCAAAGTATTTTTTGTGCCCTGATCTGGTTTCTTCTGGCCACACATTAAAATGAGGCTGTGTATTTTCATTTCACAGCCAGAATAGGACTAGAGCAGTTAGACCATGGGTTTGGGGTTACAGAACTCCAGCTTGCTCTTTTTATATTGTTGTTATTATTTATTATTATTATTGACAGGGTCTCTCTATGTATCTCTAGCTGGTCTGGAACTTGCTGTGTAGACCAGGCTAGCCTGAAACTCACAGAGATCCGCTTGCTTCTGCCTCCCATGTGCTAGGATTAAAGGCATGTGCCACATCTGGCTCTATTATTAATTTTTTGTTTTGTTTTGTGTTGTGTTGTTGTTTTGTTTATTTTTGAGACAGGGTCTCCCTGAAGCCCCAGCTGGCCTGGAGCTCACTATGTAGACCAGGCTGGCCTTGAACTCACAGAG